GCATTGTGATAAGTACTCAAAAACAGAAATGAGAAGTACCCACGGGAAAAAGAGATATTGTGATATTCAATGAGGCTTAGGATAGGCAGCTGATGGCTTACAAGAAAGCCAGAAACCAGATATTAGTGGACCAGAAAAGCAGGAGTTTGGCAAAGTGGAAAGAATTCGGGTTCTTAGTCAGAAATGATGGAGATGAAACTGTACATCTTCAGGACTCAGGAAATGGGCCAATCACAATAGTGCCTACCATCCAGGAGTGAGGACCTGTTTTCAATCCCCAGCACGTAAAACACCCATACAGAAGCTTGGTGGGGCAGTGCACACCTGAAAACCCCAGTTTTAGGGAAGTAAAGACATAGGCCTCTCGAGCTCACTGGTCAGATGGTCTCTGGCTCTAGTGAGTAATAATATCTCAAAAACATGATAAAGAATAATTGAGGAAGACACCCGCTTCAAACTCTGACCTTTACATGTGTGCTAACACGCATGCATATCCATCTACACACATGTATGTATGGATGTGCACACAGACACCAACAAAAACTGTACATCTTCCATGTATTAATTTCCAACCATAAAGCAAAAAACTTGTCCTTCTTAAACTGTGTTAGTTGCAAGTAAAATGTGAATAACTTTTACCTTACAAGGCCAAGCAAGCACTTTATGTAAACAGACACATGGAACACAATAACGACAGCAATATTATTTGCAATCCATCTTTATATTTTTTGACCTAGGTTAGGAGAAGACAGGGAAGAGGGAAATTAAGTGAAATAGGGATGAGGGTGTTGGCTGAGGAAAAGTCTCCTCTGAATTCAAGGATATATTGGGAAGTGCACTAATGAAGATGTATTGAAAAAAAACTTCAGAAAGCCACTGGTTGCTATGGTTACAGCAGTCATCACATCAACTTAGCACCCTAAATGTAGCCTGCCTTCCCCATTTCCTTGAGGGTAAGAAAACAGATGGTTTTTTTCTTCTGTAGTCTACTGCTAAAAGCAAGATGTGCTACTAAGTAGATCAAGTGAGCTCCTTCATCAAATTACTAGCCCTTTGTCCACCTCCAAGGAAATGTATTTTTAGTGAAAATCAGAACGGTGTACAGGGTTCAAAGAACTATAAAATTCTTATTATGTTTTTCTTGACACAACTCATGGAATTTAATCTTGAGCAATCAACCCACCCTTACTTGGCCTCTCTGTCCTTGGTTTAAAATGAAAGTGTTCAATAAGGTGAAATAATTTGTCTTCCAACTCAGTGTTTATAACTACTAGGACTAGTAAAAATGAGGCCCATGGAGGATATCTAGTTGGAGCATGTTCAAGAATGTCTGAACCTGGGGCTGGAGATATGGCTCAGCAGATAAGAGAAGTGGTTGCTTTTCCAGAGGACCAGGGTTCAATTCCCAGCATCCACACACTAGTCCACAAGTACCTGTAACTCCAGTGTCAAAAGATTTCACACCCTATTCTTACTCCCCATACCAGGTACACACTCACACACAGTGCATAGACACACATTCAGGCAAAAAACCCACACCCGTAAAATAAATGTATTAAAATAATAAAATAATGTCAGAACAACAGTTTCAGGCTTCTTTGCTATAGCTGGTGGAGAGCCAGAGAAGCCCAAAAAAGGATCATTGGATTTAATAGCTCAAATTCGAGAGAAGAAAAGTGATCACAAAACTTCAATTGCTACAAAATGTGGCTGATGAGGGAGGCAATAATTCTAAAACCAGTCAGCATCTAAGTTCATTTAAGTGGAGATTAGTGAGGAAAGCCATGAAGGTTAACGGATGTACAGTGTTATTTACATTGTTCTTGTATAATTAGGATGCCTGGAAGAAATAAGGACATTCTTAAGAGACTTGGTGGTGTCCTGTGTACTAACAATCTGGACTATTGAAACAAGGCCCCCAGGCATTTGAGATTTCTCTCCAAGCAATCTCACGATGGGCAAAGGGAAAGCCTGAATCCTGGTGCCTTCCAGAGAGAGGGACCTTGTGTCCTGAAAGAAGATGTTGTTACCAAGAACTTTTAAGATTGCCAGTCAGATTGGGTCAATGCTGAGCAGAACCAAGACTGCTTAGTTATGATCATCTCTCTTCCTTCCGTTTACAATCTACCCTCGTGTCAGAACCCTGAAGACGGACTTGGCAAAGGGAGGGGAGAAGGAGGGTGATGTCACTGAATCTTTTTTTATCCCTTTCCCCAGCATGGCCATCTTGAATCTGCTTTTTACTGCTACCTGTTTGCTTAGTTGGCTTACTAAGAATAACTGGCCTGATATGGCTTCCTGGGGCTATCCAGTTGCAGGCTTCAACAACTCCAGTAATACCTGATTCTGCTAAAACCCTCAAAGAGATCTGCTGTGGTCTTACAGAGATCTTAAAATATAAAGTCCAAACTTCATATCGTGACACACACAGGTCCGTAATAGTTTGACTTATTATTATTATCATTATAAATTTCTTATTTTTCTCTCACATTTCCCAAGCTCTGATTTCAACTGTATCAAACACCCTATCAATCTTTACAGATTTGTTTATCCATCACGCTCACATTTAGTGAGAATACTCCCAAACACCAGGCACTTGGCTAGTCATGGGGACACTAGTCATGAAGATAAATACTGTTTCCCAAGGTTCTTACAGCTGATTCTGAACAAGTATCTTGACCTTTCAAAATGTCACACAATTAATTAGGGGACAACACAGAATTAAAACACAGGTCTTTATCATCTTAAAGCATCTTAGGGATTTGGGGAGTTTTAAATAATAGAACAATGATTAAAAAATACTACTTAATTCTTTCCAATGTATCTAATTTCCAAGGGAGAGTGACAAATACTTTGAGGAAAAGTAGGGTGGATTGCAGCAGTGAAAACATCCACAGAGGCTCTGGTATGGAGGATGGACAAGGGCGAGGCCATGCAGGAAGCATTTCCAGGGCAACCTCATCTAACACAGTTTAAATGACATCAACAACACTAGCCGCATTCTAGATGGCCTCTCCTCTGAAGCATCTAATGAACTTGGATTTTCTGGGTTCTAGTGTTGTTTGCTTGCTTTCCTGTTTTGTGAGGCAGGGTCTCTAAGTAGGGAAGGATGACCTTGAACTCGCCATCCTCCCGCCTTTATTTCTCAGCGCTGGGATGACAGGTGTGTGCCACCACACACAGTTATAAGATGCTGGAAATGCAATTTCGGGCATCGTGCTTAGAAAGCAAACACCCAGTCAACCGAACTTTATCTCCGCTTCAATTTTCTCTGCTGTCAGGATGAGTTCCAATTTCCATGGCTTATACAAATTAGCAGGAGGGAAGAGTTTTTGCTAACCTGCAGCCCTTGCCTGTAATATTGCCTACTGGTTCACCCAGTGAGCAATGAGACAAACAGCCAAGTTACTAACCTTTTACCACACATTTATACTTCAAAGGAAATTGAAATTTGATCATTTTGAAAATTGTATCGGTGAATATATCATCTCAGAGTTTAGAAGAAAATTCATTAATAACAAAATTTAAAAAAATAGTCTCATTCTGGTCCGGTGACAGATCTAGTACAGCGGGAGGTAAAATGAAGAATGCAGCCTTAGAAATAAGAAAATCCATTTAAGAAAACTTCGGTACTCAAAGAAATTTAATAGTAGATGATAAAATGTATTTATTTATATTCAGTTGGAAGGTCAGTGGGAGCATTCAGAACTCCGAATGACTGGCCCCAGGAACAAGCTATTCCTTTTACTTTTTTACTTTTCAAGTCAAGGTCTACTCTTTTACATAATACTTGGCAAATGCTGAGTTAGAAAATGGATGTTAATAAATGTATGAAGACAATCTGATGGCAAAAAAATTGTCCAACTTGAGAATTAGTGAATCAAAACAAGTTAATAATCTAACCTGAGAGTTAGATTTTTTTCCAATTCCTCATCTGTAATTCTGTCAGACACATGGACTTATAAAAGTGAGCTGAAAAAACACACTTTTTAAAAACAAAATTGATGCTTCGTTGGAGGGTGTAACAAGAAAATGGTTACATAAATGGATAGCATATTTAGATATCATGCATTATGTAGCCAACAATATCGTTCAGCAGGTCAAAGCACTTGCAATGTGAGCCTGGGAATCTAAATTCAACCTGTGGAAACCCATGGAAATGTAGAAAGTGACCAACCCCACAGACTGGTCGTCTGCCTTCTGTAAGTGTGTGCCATGGTAAATGTAACCACACATCACTGTGTACACACACAGACACACAGACACAGACATACACACAGTTTAAAAATTTCAATGATAAAGATCATGCACTGAAACAAATTAGCATGGAACAAAATCAGTGCGAAAATAAAAACTCCGTGTAATCACAATTATTTTAATGTATTCGGAGCAGAAACAGGAAAATAACACCCAAAACATTTACCTAATTGGTAGCATTGTTGATCGTTTTATTTCTACTGTTTTTGCTGCTTTTAAAAATCTCAATACTATAGTTGATATCATTTTGCAATTGAAAAATACATATCACAAAAAATCATTTTAATACGGAGAATTATCTCTTGATTCTTTAGCATCCCATGTACTATAACCATGTGCATTCCATGGAAGCTTCTAAAGTCATGGATTGTTTGAGGTCAAACCACGTTGTATCAGTGTACATCCCAGGTTTTACCTGTGCAACTAAATCACTTCAAATAATGAAATCCAGCATCACTCATGGAGAAACTGGTATGGGGAACAGGTTACACGTAAGTATTTTATAACAGAAAAGTCTTTCAGTTTGGAGTCATGTATAAAAGCTGCCTTGCCTTTATCCCTGCAAATGTTTCCTATGCTGTATTAGGTGCCCAAGTTATATTCCTATGGAATCAAACAGCACCTTTGCAGGAACCTGTGGTTTACGTTCTACAGCTTTTTTGAGTTTAATCTAATAATACGGGCAACAACTGGTCTCAAATATCACCAGAAGCCAAAGAGAAGTTGGCAGATTTATTGCTTACCGTGGTAGCACAGTGGATATCTTTCCACACTGTGGCTTCCCTGGAGAGATCAGAGACTTCAAATAAGTTATCAAGAATCACTTCCCCAATCATGTCGTGCCTGGAAAATCTGTCAAAATCATATATGCTAAAGTGTAGTTTCCGGTTGCTTAGCTGATCATAGGCCACTGGAAACTGAAATATCTCATCAAACAGGGGGTTTAGCGTCTTCCTGTGGACGCGCGTCTGAAATTTCTTTTTCCTGTCTGGAAGAAGATAGATCTTCACGTAAGGATCAGAAGTGCCTGTAAAATCTTTAGCTGGGAGCTCTAAAGCTTTGACAATATTCACAACTAGGAGTTCGTTTTCATAATCATACTGAAGCGTGAAGTTAAGTTTCCCACAGGTTTTGACATCGTCTTTTCTGTTGCCCTCGGAGTCAACCGATTTCTGCTTATAGAGCTCTGGTTTGATCCTCCCAATGCTGGTCCTCGTCTCTCCTCTTTGTAAGACAGGTTCGGCGCCCATGCTAAAGTCAACACTGGAGACGTTCATTTGCCTTGGTAGGTGTCTCTTGAAGGAATTGTGGCTGTAAACATACAGACACACGGACACAAAATCGCTCTGGTTAGTCACCTCTGATAGTAGTTACCAAGTGCCATACACACCCTCCCCACCAGCCCAGGATCAGGAAAGAATGTTACTGTCCCCACGCAGGATTATTGAACCTATGTCTGTGTCAACACTGTCCCACCCTCACGGTGATGCAAAGGGTTGCTGTGAAAAGCCAGAGTGATAGCAGTCAAAGAAAAAGTCTAAAATGTGATAAACAGTTGAAACACACAGTTGCGCATTTTAGAAGAGGTTGTGTTTTTTTCCACTCATAAACACCTCATTAAACACCGTTATGAAGAAACAGGTTTCTCAATCAATGGCGTTCTACTCTGCAAACATTACATGTCTTCACCCATTGCTCACATCCAGACTGAAGACAGCTGTTCACTTGGTCTTCTTCTTTACATCTGGATATTTGAATTTTATGTTTTAGTAACTCTGCCACTAAAATAAAATTCTATAAAAACATATTCTTACACACCAATCATTTTTCATATTTAAGATAACTAGATGAATACTAGTTTTTAAAATCAATAGAGTTGTGACAACCCAAGTGAGTGTATTTCCCTTGTTTAACTTGGAGTGGGCCTCGAAACTTTAAGGACAAATAAGAGTGAACAATTTTAATGATGTAAAAATAAGTCTTAAAAAATTCCAAACTAGTCCCTCTGCATGTGGGTGACAGATGTGTGGCTGGGGCAGACTGCGGGGTTACTGGCAGGGGGACCAGAATTTTTCCCTAGTGCTTGAACTGGCTTTTTGGAGCCCATTCTCTTTGGAGGGATACTTTGCTTAGCCTAGATATGGGGGGGGGGTGTTGGTCCTGCCTCAAAGCAATGTGCTGGACTTTGTTGACTCCCCATGGGAATCTTTATCATCTTTAAGAAGTGGATGGGGGGGTGGGGTGAGGGGAAATGTAGGGGAGCGGGAGGAGGGGAAGGAGTGGGAACTGGGAACTGGGATAGTTAAGTAAAATGAGAAAGGTTTTTTTTTTTTTTTTGGTTTGTTTCATTGTTGTTTATTGTTCTGTAGACTAGGCTGCCCTTGAACTCACAGAGATCTGCCTGCCTCTGCCCCCGGAGTGTTGGGAATTAAAGGTGTGTACCACCACCGCCTGGTGAGAAAACATGGTTTAAAAATTAAATAGAAATTCTAGCTATTACATATCTTGCTCTCGTGCGTGTCAAGTCTGTATAACTGGGATCGAGATCCATTTCCTTAGACACCTGTGTGATTTCCATCTAGCATGAGCTATGACGGTCCGCGAGCCTCCCGCAGGCTTCATTCCAGGCCTTTGTTCTTTTCTCTCTTCAATCTACCTAGCAAAAAATTACAGGTTTGGACTATAATTCCTGTTTGAGTCAGATAGTTCCTCAGATGAGTCCCTGCTACATAAGATTCTCCCTGCAATGTCTCTGAATCTCTAGGATTTCAGAACATATCTCCTAACAACCCTCCCTCAAACTCAAGCAAATTCATTATTTTCTCCTTTTTGCTGCCGCAGCAATTTCCTCTCTTAAAATCACTAGTAGAGCTAAGTAATGTGTTGTATTAACAACCATAAAAATACTTAAAAATAATCATATATGCTTGTTACAACTTTTTTGGTTAAACATTATATGTAACATATTTAAATATACTAAATTTCAAAATTTACTTGGATGAAATAACTTAAAGTATAATTTTAGAGTTTTTTTTTTTCATTTCTTTAAATAGCTATCTAAAACTAAAATGGCTAAAGGATGCTGAATTTGTAAGACAAAGTATAATGATTCCATGATGCAAAAAATTCTGTTAAGTATATTATTAAAGTATACTTTGTAATATGTCTATATATTCACTATATATTGGAAACAGTAATATAAATATGTAACAAATTGCTATTATATAATAATAATGACTACATTAAAATTTGACCTAATTAAAAATTATTATTATTACTTTTGTTTTTTTGAGGAAAAATTATTTTCATGCAAAGAAATAAGCTAGGAATTTTAGGTCAGTTAAAAATTAGCTATTAATTAAAACTATAGTTAATTTAAGACTCAGTACTTCAGTTTCTGTAATTGAGCATATAAACATGTATATGAAAGTCTTTACTAAGACTTGATTGCAAACCTTGAAGCAATCTGTCTCCTTAGACCTATCCCATTATAATTCATTAGATACTCCATGTAATGAATATGGACCCTAAACTTATCACAAAATAAAAGATCAGAAGCCTGGATTATATTCAGAGTAAGGCCAGAGAGAATTTATGAAACAGCAGGAAAAATGTTCCCATAGGCTCCATTGTTGTTATGAACCATGAAAGTGGCCCACTACAATCCAATTTGCAAACAAAGTCTCGGGTGTTATTCACTATATAATGGGGTAGCCCTTAGCTTCTTGAGAAGGTTCATTAAACAACAATGTTTCTATTAAAATCACTTTCACTTGTCCAGCAATTTTGATTTGTACTAACAGAACCTGAAAGGAGGTAATTATGGAATGTCATCAGCTTATTTCATAATTCCAAAGACTTTCAAAGGTAATAATTTAATCCTCTGTCCTCTCAAAACTAAGAAATTTCTTCTTTGTACCTCTGAGTGTGCTGTGTGTGGCTGTAAAGCTACTAATGGGACTCACTTCTACAGGGCTCCTTTCAATGGAGTGAAAACTGTAGCATCCCCTTTGTTCAGTAGCAGTGTCCTAATTACAGGGTAAATAGTGCACATTCTGTGTCACTTCAGCTAGTATGCTAAGAAAAGCGCTCGTTGCGACAGTGCTGAACCATCGCCATTGACAACACACAGCTGCTCCCTCTTCCCCCTTTGCTCTTTTGGAATGACAGTGAGGGCAAATGTTCAAACAATGAAAATGTGAACCCCTGCACCTCTGACCCTTCCAGCTTCCAGAGGCCCACGCAGGCTCTCTGGGAGAAGCACTGGACCGTGAGGGACTGCAGCTCGTCCTCAGGTGTCTTATATAGAAAGGCTAACTGCAGGAAACACTGAGGGTAGGAATGGTTTTGTGCACTTTCTGGTTTGTTGGAAACCCACCCTAGCCTTCTCGTATGGTTGCTGATGCTTTCCCCACATCCCTTATTCCACTGCATCTTGGTCTGGAATGCTCCATAGCTCTTGTCTCCCATTACCACATTTATGCAGTTCAGAAATAAAACTCTCTGATTTGTTAGCTAAGTATTGTAATCACCTGTTATTAGCTGTGCCTTGCTACTCAAGTCATTCCCTTGAAATTTTAGTCTCCTGGTTCCATATCACTTTGGACACTTGTTTTGATTGCCACCATACACCTGTTTCTTCCCAAAATTTGATCTCTAAGTTCAGTGTCTACTCCCCTACAGTGATGTCTTCTGTCTTAGTCACTATCATTCAAATAGTTAGAGTCTGTTTTACCATTAACTGGAAACTATTCCACAGCTCCAACTTGAGTATACTTCTGATCAATGTTTCCTACTTTCCACGATCTTTTGAAATTGAAGAGCTATCATCAGCTAAAGAGAAGTGATGATGCTGAGTCAGAGAGGAGCATCTTAAAATCTTATGAAGGAGAATAAAACTCAGCAACAAGGGAAGATCTAGTATGAGATTAAGGCATTGGTTGTTGTCTTAGGGAGAGTTTCCACTATTGTGGTAAAATACCACAACCAATAAGAACATGAAGAGGAAAGGGTTTGTTTCATCATGTACTTCTCAGGAACAGTCTATTACTGATGGAATCCAGGGCAGAAATTCAAGGCAGGAACCTGGAGGCAAGAATGGAAGCAGAAGCCATTGAGGAGTTCTGCTTATTGTCTTGCTTCTTATGACTTGTTCAGTTGGCTTTCTCATACAAGCCAGGACCACTGTCCCAAGAGTTGTACCACCCAAAAAGCCTGGACCTTCCCACATAAACCATTAATCTGAGATCAATTAAACTGAGAATACAAGCAGAAACACCAAAAATCAAAAATATGATGATTGCAATTAACTCACATACACTTCAATAATAATTTTAAATATAAATGGTCCCCATCCCCCCATCAAAAGACACAAGTAATATATTACCGGACCATAGTAAAAAACAATATGTTACTGGTACAACAACAGACACATAAACCAATGGAATGGAACTGAAAACCCAAACTTGAGTACAGACAACCTCAGCAACTTAATATTTGACAAAGAACCTGAAAACGTAAGATGAAGGAAAGAAAGCATCTTCAACAAACGGTTCTAGGAAAACTGGATGCCGACATGTAGAAGAATGAAATTAGACCCATACTATCAACTTGCACAAAAACTAGCCATAAATGGATTAAAGATTTAACTGTCAAACCTGAAATATTGAAACTGCTGGAAGAAAACAGAGACAGTGCCTTATATGATACAGGCACAGGAAAAGACATTGTGAAGAGGACTCCATTTGCCTAAAAGGTAAGGCCAAAAATTAACAGTGGGACTTCATAAAACTAAAAAGTTTCTGCATAGCTAAAATAACATCAACCAGGTGAAGGGGAAGTACACCAAATGAGAGAAAAACTTCATTAGTTACACATCTGGCAGAGTATTAATATCCAGAATACACAAAGAGCTAAGAAAAGCAAAAGTCCTAAAACAAATGACTCATTCAGAAAACAGGCCTGGTACCTGAACAGAAAGTTCTCAAAAGAAGAAAAACAACTAAGATATATGTATATATATAACAAGTTTATCTTCCCTACCAATTAGGGAAATGAAAATCAAAACAACTTTGAGATTAATTTTATCCAGTCAGAATGACAAAGATCAACACATACTGGAGGAGATGAGGGGGTTGGGTGGGGTGATGAAAATGATCCTCATTCAGCTCTGGGGGATTGGAAGCTGCTCCAGGCTCTGGAAATCATTAGATTTCATTTGTCCATATCCAGATCATACAATAGAAGCAGTCCCTTTGCATTTAGTTTTGCATGATAGGTTTGATTATTTTTTTTAAAATTATATGAGCCAT